GAAAAATATGATGGCCGCCAACGATTTTCGATTAATTCTGTTTGAGATAATATCTTCACTTCTAATGCACTTACAAACACAATTTTGGTGTCTATTACTATGTTTTCATGGCCAAGGAAACCGATAATGATATAATTAAAAGTGTACAAATAACACGGGTGTCATATTTTCAATATATGTGGTCGAAATCGTATTTCATCGTAACACTGGTTATTGGTTAATTCTTTCTTTTTTGGTGGTGATTGTGGAAGCATCAGGCCATGGCTTCTTCTGATGAGATTACAGGTTGCTTTTTTAAAACTTTGTGCCGCGATTAGGTGGAATGCACTTCCTAATGAGTTTCGTCGGAGCTGTGGGAACTCTTAGAAGAAACACAGGATTGACTGAAATCATGCAAACAACTTTTGGTGGTGTCCCAAACAGGCTCACCGGTAAGAAGTTTCCGCAAGACATGAGAGCATTGCTTATGGTGGTTGAAGAACTTTTGAGGCCAATCATTGTAACAACCGATGATTACAAACAGTTGCAGTTCTTCCTTCGATTATAAAGCATGCCAGAGCAAAACTTTGGATTGATAACTTGATCAAGCCAATCCTCCTGATGGTGGTGTTTCTAAGAGCTGTGCAGGAAGCCGACTGGCTTCTCCATCTGTTGGCAGTTGCAGAGATGATTCCCTATTTCTTTGCTTCCAGTCATTGGAACTATGCCAGGTACGGTCTGTACTATCTTCGATCAATGGAGCATCTACCAGACGATCTGCTCAAAGAATTCATGCATGGCAAACATGTCATGCATCACAACCTAGGCATATGGAACGCCATATGGTCCGATATGTTTATAGAGTCAACGTTTATGAGATATGTCCACGAGTCTGGCGGACTCACGGGACTCACTCTGAAGCCATCGGCTTTTACAAGATGGGCTCTGAGCTTGCATATCTGCAGCCAGCTACGTGGTGATCTAGGGGCGATGAAAGTCAAGCAAAACAGCAGGATCGTCACAACTCACAAAGAAGAGGCCCCTGCAAGCATTACAAGCAACTCATCTGATCGTCAGAAGATTCAAAACGATTCAAAGTTACATCGATCCTTTGGCAACAGACACTCACCCACCTGGCCTTTTAAATATCATGACAGGTCTTCATACAACAGGCAAGGTCAATGGTGATAATTCTCTCCAAATTGGATGACAGCAGATGGTGGAATTTGAATCTTGTTGGCCAACATCCTTCAACAAGTCACTGACCAAGAAAGTGACCCTGATCATTAAGACCAAGAAGAGCATAAAGTTGGATGGAAGACCTGTGTACAATACCGATTTGATCTATACCAGAGTCATATGTCTCCAACAATACAGGGATATTGATATCAATGATGTCCTCTCTTACCAACTGACTCCTGTGCTAGCCTCCTTGTTTGATGAGAGTGGTGCGATGCGGGCTTAGTTGAAAGCAGTCCTGAAGACGAATCTGCAAGTTGAGAAATCAAGTCGAACTGAATGGGTTTCAGATGCTGTTATAATCGATGGATGCGCCTTGTTCTGGACTGTACATTGGCCCACAAATGGTACAGTTGAGGATTATGTGATCAACTTCACGGGGACCATCAAGTACCACCTGGAGTGTTGTGACGTTTACCTGATTTTTGACAGGTACATAAAAAGCAGTACAAAGCAAATGACGAGATCCAATTGTGCAGGTCACAATTCAAGTCAAAAACATCAACTCAAAAAGATGCCATGCCAGTACAAGTATGGAACAACTCTACTCTCCAGAGACAGGATCTCACAACACAACATGAAGAAGCAGACGTCATCATTATCCATCACTTTATTTCGAATTGTGTCAGGTGTCAGTAGTGACTCACACATCAAAGTGATTTGCGACGATACAGATGTCTTTGTGCTGTTGGTTCATTTCTACATCGAGGAAAAGATGACAGTCAGTGTCAGCATGGAGAGTCCTTGTGCTGGGAGGACGAACGTAGACATTCGCCAAACAGCACTGACACACAAAAGCATCGCCAAATATCTGCCTGCTGTACACGCTCTAACCGGATGCAACACTGTATTGTATTTGTTTGGCATTGGAAAGGCCATAGCGTTGAAGGTACTAATGGCTGGACATCACCCCTTGCTTACTTGGTCAGCTGGAAACAGACAAGGCTGAGATGATATCTCATGCAACTACCTTCATTGCTGCCTGTTATGGTTCAAAAGTGTCGGTGACCACACACCAGTATCAGTTGTGGAAGTCAAAGATGGCAAACTCCAAGAAGTCGTTGCCCCCATCCCATGATGCCTTTGTTCAGTATGTACATCGCGCTCACCATCAATCGGCCACTCAGTCAGAGCCTCCCAACTTGGATCCCCTCAAGTATGGATGGCAAGTAGGTGAGGACTGAACAGAAGGATGACAAATCATTCAAAAACATTCGCGTGAGTGCACCTCTTGTTAAGGTGTGGTGTTCTGGACAGCAGCACGTGGAGCACGTGGCGGCATGCGCAAATGTGTGCGGAGGGGAACTCTTTCCCAGGCTTGTCACTTTATGGTCATGCTTGGTAGAAGGCAGCCACTTTGCCGGTGGCTGCCTCTGACAGTGTCAAATCAGGGCACAATTGTAGTACCGTATTCAACGTAATAACCGCCCCGCTCTCATAAGCGCCCACTGCGATATTTGCTGATATATTGGCTGGTAAACAATCCCAATTAGCACCCCTTCCGATTGATCAATGTACACAAGACTTATTTATTTGCGTATAATACACACTCGTGTGTTATATGCACCCTTAATTATGGGCAATTAAATTCTGAGAAAATATATCTGTCGTATATAAACATGTCAGGCTGTCACCATAAACCACGAAATTTATCTTTCAACTCTGTTTTTTTCACCAAAATAATATTCTAATAAGAACCCCCTATTTCTAATTTTGAGAGCACCCTTGGCGCTTATTACGTCGAATACGGTATTTATAAAGTCAAATGAGGACTTTAATAAAACCAAATACAGGTTTTTCATAGACAAATAACGACTAAAACATTGTCAAATAAGGACAAATCGTAGTAAGTAGTGATTTTAGGAAGTGTTTCTGAAATCGTGGGTTAATTCAAATATGGTGTAAATTTGAGTTTCAGTTATTAAACCTTAAATTATTTTGTTTGAGTTATTTTTTAAGACTTCCACTGCGTATCACACCATTGTGTCCAACTACACTTCCACTAGATGTGTCTGTTGCACCTGTCACCATTGATCGAGTGTGGATGCTCCAGGAGCAGACGATGTCCCTACAGGTGTGGGTGTGTAGCAATTGTAACGCTGAACCAGGCTGCTGTAACGAACGAGGGCAGTAGCTGCTAACCAGGACGAGGATGACGAAGACTGCGTTCTGCTTCAACAGTAAAGGAATTTAATGTTTGCCTATACTATTTTGTGCTCTGCTGTTTCATTTGCAACTATTACATGTATTGTATTAAATTTTGAGAGTTCATCAAAGTCTATCTCTTAGTGATCATTGCATTGAATTGGATTTGGGGTTTATTATGACACTCAACATCAAAGGTCATACCGGTCAGTTATACTGGCGGAGTAAACCTGAATTGTTCGGGGAAAACCGGGACCCTCGGCAAGTAACTGACGGGCTTTCCCACATACAGTGTAAAAAGAAAGTGGGGAGGGCTGCTTCCCACCAGGACGCGAATTGAACCCGGGATCTTCCGCATGACAGTGGAACCTCAAAATAGCCAATGTTCAAAATTGAAACGATGGCCATCTTGAAAATATGGCACAAGTTTTGTACACTTTTAAATTTTAGAATTAGTGGATTCCTTGACCATGAAAACAAAATACTAGACACAACAATTGTGTTTGCATGTGCATTAGAAGTGACGATATTGCCTCACAAAGAATTAAGAGGAAATCTGTGGAAGCCATTATGTTTTTCGCTTCTAAAAAAAATTCCTCAATGATGCCAGTCTGGCACCCGGCTGATTCTGGTTCAGGATTGCTCAGAGATGATGAATCAACCAAAACACTTCATAATGACGCTCAAGCATGCTTCTCCTGAAAATGGCCATTTGGCATCTAGACTAGCTGTACACTAGAGCTGTCAATAACATTTCAATGAAATATAATTGAGTCATTAATAACATGCCAGTTGCATTCATAGTAATTCTGAAATATATGAGAAACAGAAAGAAAAAGCATCCTGTTAAATTGTAGATTGCAATGGAGGGCAGGCAGCCTTATCAGGGTCAAAAGAGAAAAAACATACTTTACTATTTGCTGATGAGTTTAGTGAAAATGTCTCAAATGTTCTAACTCTACAATTTATTAATCTATATTGACACAGTCTTTACAATGTTCAACATGATATAACTTAGTGTACATAATATTTGCATAACACAACAGATAACAGTTTAAAATACATTTATACCACATCTAACGGTACATTGTTATACATTGTTCAACATGTTTCAATTGACTATCTACTGCAGATTCCTGTCAAAGATATTTTTGTAAATAGACAATAATACCGTGAAACAAATTAATTACTACTGTACTAGACCAAGTCGTTTTTAAAAGTATTGAGGGAAGTAGTAAACGCATTTGCTGTCAAAGTACCCAAACACGATCTGTCACTGTCAAAATGTTACTTCAACAGTTGACAATGCATGCATGCTATTGCAAAAATCACTAGTTTCGTCAACAACGTCCTTACGCGAACGGAGAATAAGGCAAACATACATTTACACAGAGCAAAAACATCTCTATTTGAATGTCAAAAGTTTTTACCACGTGTGTTGACATAAAATATGCATACATATCATCACTAACAAAGCCTGCAAATCCACCAATCCACCATGGGTAAACGTCATTTCCGGGTTAGGTGACGAGGGAATTTGCCCGTCGTGAAATTTGATGCACCAGTCCCAGTAAGTTGGAGTGAGCCGCGGTGATTCCGGCGTTTCACAGCTTGCAATCATTTATTTCAAGTTTAACAATGACATGGCTGTTATATATTGCTAAACGTGCAATAAATAGTAATTTCGTCTATCAAAGTAAGAACAGATTTGCCCCAGGAATTTTTTGACGAATATATTTCAGTCATTATTGATTGGTGGGTCCCATTTTAGTCGAAGGGAGGTAAACCTTTCCTCAACTCCGAAGTTGATATAACTAGTTCATAGCAGCTTCTAATGTCTCCGGTGACAGAAATAGCACTGATGTAGATAACGTGATAAGTGTGATTTAAGTGTAATGTCGAAACGACATTTTTACAATCTGGATATATAACCAAGTTTTCAAAACAAATAGGACTTGACATTCTCGTCCACTCGAGTCTCCACGTGCAGTCGCGGAATCACTTCCGACCTTGTTGAAATGTACATTATGTGAATGATGCTGCACGGACTACACACTCCAGTGAAGAGTGAAGTTGTGACGGTAAGTTTCCTACTGTTGGTCGCACAGTGATTGTGGGAGGGGTTCAGTGGGCGTGGTGACATTCGCATGATTCAGCCGAAGATGTAGGCTGCATATGCGGTAATCGAGGTATTAGATGTGGCTTCAGAAATATTTTTTCTCATTTGATTTATATGACATACAACCCTTGTTTATCAGTTTTGTGACAAAACGTGTAAAACACGATGTTTGTGATTACACATTCGCGTAAATGGGTTGAATGTTTGGATTGAGATTGAAACGAACCACCGTGACGGACTACGCTGCCAACTGACGCATCTCACAGTACCAGTACTGTCAGAGATGAAGGGTTTACATGCAGTATTTAGCCGTCCCACCAAACCCACTTTGATCATGGCACATCTGTTATTGTCGTAGCTAGTGAGCTTATGAGGGAGCGCATCTGTCGCTTTTATTGATAGTATAAGGGCGTATGGTCACATTGATCAACAAAATTGTAAATTACTGAAAGATTTAGACATTTTATAAATTGTTTTGTTTGTTTGTTTGTTGTTTAACGCAGCACTCAGCTATATGACGGCGGTCTGTAAAATAATCGAGTCTGGACCAGACAATCCAGTGATAGACTTCATGACACAACAAATTAGTGTTGTCTGTCACACATTGAACTTCCCAATGAAAAGGCAGAGGAACAAGATTGATTCTGTTCAATGCTACAGTTAGTTACAATTAGCAAACAATCAACATATTATCGGTTAATCCTTTGAACAAAGTATGTTGGTTTTTACATCAGTACCTTTACACCATGATATGAGTGTATTTCGTCTGCTATAGTAAACCTACAAATATAGACACTTACTTTTGACAAATCCACTGTGCCAGATAACAGTGGTTAATCAATCATCATATTTTCTGTTGCTCCTTTGATGGTAAGGAATGATCAGTCAATTTACAAAAAAGTAAATCAACTTATCACATCTCTTGCTGCCCTGCCATGTGCATATTACATAACATACATTTCACCTCACTTCAAACCTGGATTCAGATTAAATAATTACCCAAAACACAAGAAATGCCAAATGGGAACCTTTGTCAGGTAATCTGAGTGCTGCTACCACTAATGATACCTGTAATAAATTAGTTAACTGAGCATTGAGTGAATCATGACAAATACACAGGTGTACGGTTATACCAGGAAACAGACAGACGGAGAAACAGAAGACCAAGGGTGACACTCCAAGCACAAGATCGATACATCTGGCTGCGACGCCTCCGAGACCGCACTACCACAGCCACGTCTACAACCACACAGATCCCTGGGGTATGCAGAATATCAGATCAAACGGTACGCAACAGACTGAGGGAGGCTGGACTTTTTGCACGCAGACCTGTTCGACGTCATGTATTGACCCCACGTCATCTGGCGGACTGTCTGCTTTGGTGCCAACAGAGGGTTAGATGGGCACGTGTAAGGTGGAGAAATGTACTGTTTACTGACGAGTCCCGTTTCCTACTCACAAGTGCTGATGGGCGAGCACGTGTCTACAGACGTCGGGGTGAACGTTACGCCCCCAACTGTGTGAGCAGGTTGTCCCATTTGGTGGCGGGAGTGTCATGGTATGGGCCGGAATTTATCACGGTGGTAGGACGCCTCTCGTGCATGTGGCAGGTGCATTGACTTGATCCTACAGCCTTACGTTCTTCCTCACGTCAACGTTCATGGCGGACAGTTTCAGCAGGACAACGCTCGACCGTATATTGCACGTGTTTGTCAGGACTTCTTACAGCACAACAACATCCAGACATTACCTTGGCCAGCCCGATCACCAGATTTGTCCCCGATTGAGCATCTGTGGGACGAGTTGGATCGACGCGTTCGCAGAAGGAATCTACCGCCCCAAACACTTCCGGCGCTTCTTGATGCACTTCAGCATGAATAGCAGCACATCCAACAGTGTGTTATTGACAACTTGATTGCATCTATGGGTCGTCGTTGTCAAGCGGTGGTGATTGATGCACGTGGTGGGCAACCGATACTGACATTTTCTGTACCCCTGTGACATTAACTGTATCGTGTACATGTGTCTGTCTAGGTGACACGATTAAAGTTTTGAACATTGTGTACATTGATCTTCAAACTGTTTCAATTATGGTTTCTGTGTCCTGTTTTGACACAATCGCATTTTATTACATTTTGAAAGTCAGTGTCAAGTTTCTTTTTTTGAAGAGTATATATCACAGTATATACGGCAAAGCTATATTAGTGTAAAAGGAGTATATAAAATGTATTACCAGTCACTAGTCATATAAAAAATATTTTTTCTTCAGAAACGTGGATAACAAGGGAGTACACGTAGCAATCATATTATCCACACAATCCGAAATCCAAAAATGCTTTCACCATGTTCACTGCAGGATATTTTTAAAAATTATACTATAACCATTAAGGTATTTCCAAATGATGACATCCAATGAGCCTCCACCGTTCTTTTTGACTGTTTGTTTCAGCTGAAGAAATTTACATGCGCCATTTGTCAAAATCTTCATGGATCACGGGTAACCAATCAGTGTTCAGAAAAGCGTATATAGATATTGACTCAAAGTTTATTTATGCTGTCATTACAGCCCAGTCTTATCATGCTCAGTTGCGTTACCGAGCAAATCGACTCCCTGCAGCTAGTGAGTCCTACCGGACAATATTACACAACCAGGAAGAAGCCAGAGTTCGTGCTCCTTTAATATGAGGCATGCTCCCCAGAGGAAATTTTGCTCTTATAGGTTGCAGGATATGCTATTTACTGCTATTTATTGACACATATTGCACCACTATGTTGTGGTTCATGTTTATTCTGTTTCATGTTCGGTTGTCAGTTTCTGTATAACCTTCCTCTTCCAGGTTTTTTAATGTCTTGGCAGTTCGTTGAACCACTGTTACGAAGCGATTGTGTTTTGTCTTTACTGGGGTGATGGCAGCATTACAAGTTTGGTATTTTCACTTTTTTCATGTCCATTATCTGCACCTTTTCTATCAATATCGATTGTCATATCTCCAACACTTTTGGGTGCAAACCTTAGGCTATTGTGTTCATCTCTGCTGTCAAGCTACATATATGGGGAACAACAAACACTAGACCATGCTTCATTCTTCATTGTTCTTTGCGATTTATTAACTATCTTATATCACTAGATAACAATTTTGCAAGTGTTTTGACAGAGGGTTTTACATGGTTGAAGATATGTGCTGTCAATCGTCTTAGAGGCTTAAGTGGCGTTCGGTTAGCCGAGTGGTTATAGTGACATATATACTCTTCACGCCGAGGACCCGGGTTCGATTCTCTTTCTTGGTACAATGTGTGAAGCCCATTTCTGGTGTTCCCCTGCCATGATATTGCGGGAGTATTGCTAAAAGTGGCGTGAAACTCAACTAACTCACTCACTCACTTATGTCAGATAGCAAACTATTGCTCAGTGATTTCGTGCAACTTTGTCATTAAAGGTTCTTCGTCATTACCAGACCTTTGGAAAAAAAATTAGACAGCTTTCCAACAAGTGGAGGACCTATTCTAGGGTCTCACTGCATTGTTTGAAGATAAACCTCTTGACTTCAGATGAGGTGTCACCCATAACAATTGGAATCTCATCCCAGCTTTGAAAAACAAGATCAATGTCCTTTGGCTTCAACTTATCCATTCACAACTTGTCAAACAAAAGTACGGATCGGAATGTGTAACAGATCCATAGCTTCCCTCAAGTCAGAAATCTCTTGAGCCCTTGCATCTTTACTTGATAAACCTTGTATCACCGAAGATACCAAAGTTCTACGAGCAGCAACCATGAACAACCAATACAAAAGGAACTTGAACTAGTCACAATACCTTCCTAAACACAAACCATTCAAGAACTGTATCCTCTGTAAAACTGCAGGATGCCAGGCATACAGATCTCATAACCTGACAGATTGTAGACACTTACCCCAGTTGATTGAGAAACCCTTGTTCTATCCAGCATAATACTTGATGATGATGAAGAGGAGCCATTGTCCGAGGATGACAAGGACCAAAGTATACACCCTGACTTGTCCAAGGAGGGTCCTAGTGCTCTGATTGATAATCCCATGGTTTACTGTGTTGCTGTTATGTCTACTACATGCATCATCCAGTTTGACTAAGCCTGGATACTGGTGCTACAACTAATATGGGGACAAGTGAATTAACCCCCTGACTAAGCCAGCCTCACAATTAGCAAGACCAAGCTGACGGAGTAACATCACTTAAGGTCCGCACTAAGTTAATGTAACCAGGTGCAACTACATCTTCCAGCTTGATGCTCAGACTGTTAAGTACCAAGATGTTGATGTTATTGTCGGTATTCCCTTCCTGTCCCAGAACAGGACGTTTCCTTTGATGATATGGCTACAAGACCTGCAAAGAACCAAATCGACATCAGGGTTTTTTCTGTCATCCAATTTTGAGTGCACATCCATAAGATGAACACAGGCATTCCTACTGCGGGCCTCCAATGATCCAATTGTTCTCAAGCACAATGAGCACATCTGTCAAATAAGAACCATCAACGAGAAGTTGAACGAGGATTTGAAGCAGCAGAACTCTGATCCCAACCCTCCTGTGTGGAGGTCAAATGCACATTCACCATATTCATGTATAACTTGCCCCTGACAACTGTTTGAGCACAGATATGAGAGACAAGTTCTCACACGCTATGACACTATATTCTGTCCTACTGTGTCAAATACAATGGTTTCAGTGGTAAAATTGAGGTTACGGTTAATATAGACCCTACACTCCCACCCTGAAGGAAGGGGAGACTCCTTCATTACAACCGAGATGAACTGGTGGAGCTTCGGACTCAATTCGATGAGTTGGTATTAATAAGCGTATTTGCCACATCTGTGGAGGTGAATGTAACTGTGGAATACCTAACCCTTTCATTTCTTGTATAGAAGCTGAATGAAAGCAATTGTCTTGGGTCCTTCTCAAAGCTTTCTAACAGATTCCCATAGC